CCAACCCTAGAAAAACCTGCTGACCCTAGCCCTTTTTTGTGTGTTTGTGAACCCCTGCAAGGGACATAAACTTTTCCAGCCGATTGACCTTTTCTGTCTCCATGATCTGACACCTGAGTGATGAAACATGGTATAAGTATCCTCATGCAAGTTTTTAAGTCAGAAGTGTTAAAAAAAAGAAAGAAAAAAAAGATAATCCCTACCTACCTACCAACCCTAGTTTTTTTCAGGACTGAAACAGGAAACACAACAATTTTTTTCATAGGCCAGATCAGGTCACAGTACATTGATTAAAAACAGTGAGCATAAGTACTGTGGAAAAATCAGGAGTAACAGTCATCCATTCAGCTGGGCATGTCGTCAAAGTCAAATGACAACAAACATGACAGGGTAGATTTCCCAGCCAGTGGGTTCTCCCCAGCTACTGTGCAGGAGTTCACTGGGACATCTCCCAATATGGCCAAACCCCTGAATAGCTCTCTGATATTTGATAAGTGCTTGGAGCTGCCTGTCTGTGGGGGCACGGTTCCTTCCCATCTATCCCTGAGGGAGACTGGAGCAGAGGTTTCTATTTGTTACTGCCCGGCTGCCTCTCACACCTGCCAACCGAGCAGCACGGAAAATAAATGGCCAACCGTCTGGCGGCCGGCGAAAACCGGGAATGGGCCAGAAATAATTGGACAAGCTTTTTTTTCTGCCCGCCCCGTCCTTTCATCACCCGTGTTCTGAATCTGATTGCACGGAGTATTCCGTGGAGAGACGGAGGGAGAAATTTTGATACGAGCTTGCGCTGCAAAGTGATCCAATTTGCAGTATTGATCCTGTCAGGGCCGCTCTTTATTCCAGTGTATCTAATACGCATGTCGGCTTTCCAAAGGGTGGGTATTTGTGCTTTGCGGTTTCGGAGCCGGATCACGATGCCGTCGATCAAATTTGGCTGTCGGAAGGAAAGCACCCCCGGGGCAATCCGAACGTGAATCTTATCCGTCTCCTCTCCGGGAGAGAGACG